TCTAAAAACACAATGTGAACAACCCTCATTATATATACACATATTAGTTATTGATTTTGACAATAACAATTTGTGTTAAAAATTACCGTTTTAATCTTTATATATTTTTAATAAAACATTATATTTAAATTACTATATAAATTTTTTTTAAAAAAAAGTTTAATAATTGTCAAACATCCCTAAAAATATAGTATATATATATATATATATTTGAATATAACATATAATTTGAATTAATTAAATGCCATATGTAGCACATTTAACTAGTAATTAAATTATTTATTCAAGAAATTATATAAATGATCGATTTAATCTATAAACCCAAAACAATGTTTTTTTTAAGTTACGTACCAAATTAAGTTCATCATGATGACTTCAATAAAATATTTGTCTTTTATGTGTTGAATTCGACACAAATTATATATGAATAAATAATTATTTCCCAAAATTCTCATTGAAATGATCTGTGGAATTTTCTAATGTGAAAATAAAATAAAATAAATAATTTATATGACTTTAGGAAACGACAATTTAGAAATAAATTAATCATTGGTCTACACAAAGTAATCTGTGACTTGGCCACTTTTGGACCAAAATCTCTAATTTATTTATTTAGGTGATTAATTATTACATTTGTAAAATACAAGATTAAAGACAAAATTACAGATTTTCTTACGTTGTTATTATTAGTATTATTTTGTCCCTTTTATTGTTTTCTTATTATTATTTTAAGACGTGGAAACAATACATTGTAGCTGCAAAAAAAAAAATACTAATAGATAAATTATCCACATTACAAAGAATTTAAATAAAATATATTAATAAAAATAATTATAAATTATAATAATTATATGAATTAATTAAAATTAATAGAATTATAAATTATTAAATTTAAAATATAATTGAAATGTATAATTATATTTTTTTTAAAAAAATAACAAATTTAACGAAAGAGATCGAAATAAAAAAAATAAATATATTATGTAAAGCATAAAGAATATTTAAATGAGGAATCCATAAGAGGGAGTTAAAAAAGAATTTTGGGCCAAATCTAAATGACTCATATTTATTTTTTTATTTATCTTATTTTTATATTAAAATATTATTTTTATTTTTCTAACTCTTCTTATCCAAGTAAAACTACATAAGTTTTGTGGATAAAATAAGTTCTTTTCATTCCAAATGAAAGTACACTTTTATTACTCCATCCGTCTTATATTCATTTGCATGTAGTTTTAAAAATATTATTATTATATTATGATGTAGTAAGAATAAAGTAGAAATGACCTGGCGGACACGTCACCTCCGGCGAGCCACGCGGGCGTCTCCGGCACCGGAGGACTAAAACAGCGAAAAGTTTTCACTTATGGGACTAGTTTACGACAGACTCCACTTACAGGACTAAAATGATAAAGGGGTCCAGTTACGGGACTAAAAAAACAGTTTACCCTTAATTTAATTTAAATTAATATTTGGTGTACTTATCAAACTAGAATTATTTTACATACATAATAATTGTATTAATTAATATTAATATATTATAATTGAGTTATCGTGTCGAGTTCGTATTGATCCGTATACATAATTGGATCAAAATTATTGACCCAAATTCAATTATCTCGTGTCAAACTAATTTTTGCCAACTCGAGTTACGGTGTTAACTAAGTCAAATAAGCATAGTAATCCAAAAGATAAAATATATATTAGCAACACATTACATTATTAATACTTTATCCGTCTCATTTCAATTGTCTCTATTTTATTTTTTGTTTGTTCTACTGTAATTGGCACGTTTTCATTTTTGGTAAAATTTACTAAATTTATACATACTTAACAAATATAAATCAAACTTAATTAACTTTATAATACTCCTTATGTCCATCTCTAAGGTCACATTTACCTTTTGGGTTATTGTACTTAATATTAAAAACATTCTTACATTTTTATAATTTTTTTGTACAAGTGTCTTTCTATTAGTACAACAAGACACTAATGAAAGTATTTTTGCAATTTTTTTCTTAATTTGGACTACGTTTGATATAATAAGCAATATTCAAAGATCAACACGCAAAAAAAGTAAATGAGATCTTTAGAGCTGGATAGAGGTACTACATAACATCACACATCACATAGTATCCACTCAAAACCCTTTATTTTTATATCTCTCCTAAATAACAAAAAATAATGTTATGTGCGTTTAAAACTTCACCCTTTTTATAAAATTAATTTATCTTAATTATAAATATATATATTTATTTGTATTATTTAAAATTTTATTCTCTACCAAATGATATACATAATATATATATTTTATTGAGATATAATATTTAAAATATTTAAATATATATTCGAAATTTATTTTGATATATATATATATTAATTATTAATTAAAACTACTAATAATACTACTTATAAAAAATATAATAAATTAATATCATAACTCACTATATTATTAACTAATTAAATCAAATTTATTTTAAATATCGTCCCAAAACTAAAATTGATCGACTCTAATGGGACGGAGTAAGTATATATAACCTACACAACACTGTTTATATATAATAAAATATTATGTTGTAATGTATACAAATAATACTCCTTTCCGTCCGGACTCAATTAAATCTTTTCATTAGTGATATCAATATTTAAGATAATAATTTTTAATTAGTTAATAATAGTTAATTATGATATTATTTTTTATATAATTACGAATAATGATAATTTTAAAATAAAAAATATTATTAAAAAAATTATAATTTGTATTTAAATATTTTAAAATTTATATCCCAATAAATAATATATACAATATGTATATTATATTGTAGATAAAAAAAAATTTATATGATACAAATAAATAAATATTTATCATCAATATAAACTAATTTTATAAAATAAAAAATAATGTAGATAAAAATATTTATTTTTTAAAAAGAGATATATACAGATATAAAGAGGTTTGAGTAAATTCTATGTAATGTATAATGTTATAAGTAATATACTCCCTACGTCCCAATACAATAGTCTTGTTTATCATTTTTGTCGGTCCTAAAACAATAGTCTTATTTTCATAAAGACTCATGTCACCATAAAATTATCCTTATTTTTTTATTATTATATCACAAATGTCACTACTTTTTATACTAATAAACTCACCAGGGCAAAAAGTTATTATACGCATACTTTTTATCAACTATCAATATAATATTAATATTCCTTAAAATCTGTGTCTGAACCAAATAAGACCATAATTTTGAGACGGATGAAGTAGTTAGTTAAGTTGATTTATATTTTTTAATATATATTGATTTAATAAATTTTATCTAAAATAGAGAGATGGCAATTATTATGAAATAAATAAAAAAAATTAAATTATTATGAGACAGATGGCGAATTATTTATATATATATATATGGGTAAATTGTTTTTTAGTCTATAATTGGACCTCTTTATCATTTTAATCCTGTAAGTGGAGCCTGTCGCAAACTAGTCCCATAAGTGAAAATTTTTCGTTGTTTTAGTCCTCCGGCGCCGGAGACGCCCGCGTGGCTCGCCGGAGGTGACGTGTCCGCCAAGTTAACGACACCTGGCGGACACGTGGATTTATTTTTTTATTTTTGTTTATTTTTAATTTTTTTAATTGGACCAAATAAAAAAAATAAAAAAATACAAATAAAATTTAAAATAAATTAAAAATAAGTTTTTAAAAAATGAAAAAAAAAATAAAAAATCCACGTGTCCGGCGAGCCACGCGGGCGTATCCGGCGCCAGAGGACAAAAACAGCGAAATTTTTTTACTTATGGGACTAGTTTGTGACATGCTCCAGTTACGAGACTAAAATGATAAGAGGGTCTAGTTACGGGACTAAAAAAACGGTTTACCATATATATATATTAAGAGCATAAATTTAAATATAACACACAAATATGTCACTTTCTAATTATGGAAGCTATCCATACATATGCATCCTAATTCCTAATTCCTACACTTGCAAATAAAGTCGCGTTTCTGCCCATACCTAAAGTCGCGTCTTTCTTATTTTTCCAAGTCAAGTATTGTTTCTAAGATGTGTGTTTTTCTTAGGGTTTGATTTGATTTTAAAATTTCAAAAACAATATTTATTATTTTATAAGTAGATATTTAATTTATTGTTTTATTTTATTTTTTTTGTTTCCATTCAAAGTATATGTTTATTATTTTATATAATAGATTGAAAAATAATATTTTTACGTTAATTAATAAAAGTGTGTAAGATGCTATTGACATTTTTTTAGGGAGATATACATTTGTTTGGAGTTTGAATAATAAAAATTTTAAATTGTAATAATTGTATAATACTCCTTCCTTCTCGGTCCAATCGATCCTTTTTGATTTTATAATAGATTAAGGAATAATATTATTTTATTAGTGAGTGGAAGTGTATAAGAGGTTTTGACATTTTTGCCTTTGATTCTATGTAATAAATAATTGTATGTGTAATGGTATACTTGTAATTAAGATTAAAATTTAAAAGGTATTTTGATATTGGTGTATTATTACTTTTACTAAAATAAAAAAAAAATACTTTAGTGAGACAGATGAAAATAATAAAAATGATACTTTGAGTTGAGACGGATGAAGTATAATATAAATATGTGTCGACATGATATTTTGAATATAAAATTAATTTTTGTTATAGTATAAAAATAAAAAGTGTGTGATTTGATATTTCGTGGAAAAATTTTTTTTTTTTTTATAAAGAGTAGAATTTATAAAAAATTCCATATACGAACACTCCCAAACCAAATTTAACAAAAAATAAATAAATAACACAAAAAAAAGAACCCAATGTCTGTGTTGCTCAGTCTGGTGTAGAAGTCCGGGGACCCCCCAAAGAATACCCCAAAGTTTGCTCCCTTTGTACAAGAAAATCTCTTAATTTAAATAAATAAAAAAAAGCCGGCCGGCCCGCTCGAGTCACTATAAATACCCCATCATTCTCTCCTTCCCAAACCCCCCTCTCCCTCTCCCTCTCTCTCTCTCTCTCGCTCTCTCAAACTAAAACCCCTTTCTCTCTCCTACTCTGTTACTACTAAGTGAGTGAGAAAATGTGCCAACAAACAACAACCTCATCATCATCATCAAATCATCATCAAGATCAGAAAAATCAAGATCAAAAAAATCATGATCAAGATCCTAATCCTAATGTAAGAAAATCCCCAAATTCCGACATGTACACCTCCCTGATCCCCAAATCCCCAACACCCACGCGCCGCCTCCGCGAGTCCCTCTCACTCGCCGCCACCGCCTTCCCCATCGCCGCCACCGGCCTCCTCCTCTACTCCCGCTCCGCCGTCTCCATGCTCTTCCTCGGCCGCCTCGGCCCCCTCCCCCTCGCCGGCGGCTCCCTCGCCCTCGCCTTCGCCAACATCTCCGGCTACTCCATCCTCTCCGGCCTCGCCGCCGGCATGGACCCCCTCTGCACCCAGGCCGCCGGCGCCGGAAAATTCCCCCTCCTCGGCCTCTCCCTCCAACGCACCGTCCTCCTCCTCCTCCTCGCCTCCCTCCCCATCTCCCTCCTCTGGCTCCACGTCAGCAATATCCTCACCCTCTTCGGCCAGGATTCCGCCATTGCCGCCCAAGCTCAAGCTTTTCTCTTCTTCTCCTTGCCCGATTTAATCGCCCAATCTTTCCTACATCCTCTCAGGATTTACCTCCGGACACAGTCGATCACCCTTCCGGCGACGTTCTGCGCCGCCGCCGCCATGCTGATGCACATTCCGATCAACTATTTGCTCGTCGTGAAACTCGATTTGGGGATTAAGGGCGTGGCGATAAGTGGGGTTTTGACGAACGTAAACGTCGTCGTTTTGCTGATTGGGTATGTGATAATTTCCAAGGTTTATAAGAAATCGTGGGAGGGAGTCTCGCCGGAATGTTTTTCAGGCTGGAAGCCGCTGCTCGACCTGGCGGTGCCGAGCTGCGCCGCCGTCTGCCTCGAGTGGTGGTGGTACGAAATCATGATTCTCCTCTGCGGTCTGCTGAAGAATCCGGCGGCGGCGGTGGCGGCGATGGGGATTTTGATTCAGACGACCTCGTTGATCTACATCTTCCCGTCGAGCCTGAGCTTCAGCGTGTCGACACGTGTCGGGAATCTGATCGGCGCCGGGAGGGTCGCGGCAGCGCGGGCGGCGGCGGGGGTGGGGATGGCGGGGAGCTTTATGATCGGCGCGGCGGCGCTGATTTTCGCGGTGGCGGTGAGGAATATTTGGGCGAGGATGTTCACCGGCGACGAGGAGATAATCGGGCTGACGGCGGCGGCGCTGCCGATAATCGGGCTTTGCGAGCTGGGGAACTGCCCGCAGACGACGGGCTGCGGGGTGCTGCGAGGGACGGCCCGGCCCAAAGTGGGGGCCAATATAAACTTAGGGTGTTTCTATCTGGTGGGGATGCCGGTGGCGGTGGGGCTGGCATTTTGGGGCGGAATGGACTTCCGGGGGCTGTGGCTGGGGCTGCTGGCGGCGCAGGCGGCCTGTGTCGCCACCATGATGGCGGTGCTGCGGCGGACCGATTGGGAGGCTGAGGCCCGGCGGGCCGAGGAGCTCACCGGAGGAGGTCCGGGACCGGGAGTAGGGGGATGTGTAGTCACTGCAGAATATAATAATAATAATAATAATGATGATGATGATGACAGGAAGGGAGATAGTTTGTGCTGATTTTGGTGGGAATTATTTATTTTGATATAATTTTGATTTTAAATTGTAATTAAAGAGGGTAGTGTCGTAGGGATTTGTATGGTATATTTTTTTTGGTGGAAATTATTTCATCAATATATATATCCTATTTTTGTTCTACTTTTGAGGGTCTCATTTATTTTTTCACATGTTGATCTTTGAATATTAATTATTATATTTATAAATTTAAAAAAAAAATTACAAAAATACTTCTAGAAACACATTTTGTACTAAAAATTATACAAATATAAATATATTTTTAATGTTAAGTACGATAAATATGATCCTTAGAGGTAGACCAAAAAAGTATATATTAGTGATGAAAATTTTAATTTATATACTTCCTAATTTCTATTGAAAAGTTACTATTATTTTTCGTTTTTGTTCGTCCCAAAACAATGTTACAATTTTTAAATTTAGTAATTGTATTGTCTACCTAACATAATAAATACTATTTCAATTTACAATATATTACACAAATTCATTACTTTTATATTACACAATATACTACTAGGGTATTTTTATTTTTTTTTTATAACTCAATATAATACTAATATTAAAAAAATTACGTACAAAAAGTAAATGTCAATCTTCAATGAGACGGATGAAGTATATATATAGGTTGATGTCAATGTGCTAACTATTATTAGTCAGTGTAATACTGATAATACATACTCCCAACGTCCGTCTCTAAAAGTTACATCTACGTCATTGTACTTAACATTAAAAATATTTTTATACTTATATAATTTTTTATACAATGTTATTATATTAGTATTATAAAATACTAATTGAAGTATTTTTGTTGTTTTTTTTGTATTATATTATGATTTAATAATGAATATCCATATATCAATACGTAAAACATAGATATAACCTTTAAAGACGAACGAAAATAATATAATATATGTAAATCAACAAAAAAGAAAAATATATATATATATATATATAATTCAAATATAATGCTAATGACACACACAACATGTATTATTTGAGATAATTTCATATATTGAATAGACTAATCAACATGATGGTCCTTAATTATTTGATGTAATGTTTATGAAATATTTTAAAATGTTTATAATTCTATTTACTTCATTTTATTATTATTTTTTATTATTCTTATCATTTGTATACAAATCTACTCTCAATATAATCATTCTTTTAATTAAAAAATACATCTATATTTTACATAATATCACAAAAAAATTTATTAAAAAACAAATAACTTTATAGGTAAAAAATCTTTTTATTTTTCTATTGTACTATTATTTATAAAATATAAATATTCTAAATATATGTATAAAAAGTAAACATATACATTGAGAGGTGACAAAAAAATTATATATTAAATTAAATACTTCATTTTTTTTTACAAATTTTGAAAATTTTCAAAAGTCTAGAAAATCTATTGTTATATTTTGATTTTGATTTTTTTTATTTAAATAGTAATTTAAATATAGTATTTTTAAAATCACAACCACAATAAATAAAAATTAAAACCAACTCCATAATTATATAACATTAATTATTTAAAAATATATAAAAAAAAAATGAGACTATAAATATAATAAAACTTATATTTTCATTTAAATAAATACTCACTCCCTCCTTACGTACATTCAATATAATATTTAAACATTCGATCAAATATATATACAATATTTAAACAATATATATATATATATCACCATTTAAGCACTATTATATATCATATTCCTTAGTATTTAGTGATTTTTTAAATTTTTATATTTAATTATTAAAAACTATAATAATATTATAAAACATTTCTTTTTGTTGATTTTGATTTTTTTTTTTTATTTTAGAAAAATAATTTTATTAAAAATTATATTACTAAAAATTGGTAATTTTTTTTTTTTATTTTAGAAAAGTAATTTTATTAAAAATTATATTACTAAAAATTGGTAAAAATAGAAAGCAAACAAATCCATAATATTTATTAAATATAATGGGTAAACTGTTTTTTAGTTTCGTAACTGACCCATTTATCATTTTAGTCCTGTAAGTGGAGCTTGTTGCAAACTAGTTCCATAAGTGAAAACTAACTTTTCGTTGTTTTAGTCCTCTAGCGCCGGAGACGCCCGCGTGGCTCGCCGGAGGTGACGTGTCCGCCAGGTGTCCCGCCAGGTCAGCGACACCTGGCGGACACGTGGATTTATTTTTATTTTTTTTTCATTTTTCCATTTTTTAAATTTCTTTAATTGGATCAAATATAAAAATTAAAAAAAATACAAATAAAATTTAAAATAAATTAAAAATAAGTTTTAAAAAAATTTAAAAAATAAAAATAAAAAATCCACGTGTCCGCCAGGTCAGTGACACTTGGGGGACACGTCACCTCCAGCGAGCCACGCGGGCATCTCCGGCACCGAAGGACTAAAACAGTAAAAAATTTTCACTTATGAGACCAGTTTGCGATAGACTCCACTTAAAGAACTAAAATAATAAAGGTCCAGTTACGGGACTAAAAAAAACAGTTTACCCTAAATATAATTAATGTGACGCAATCGACTGAAAAATGTGTGGATGTTAATTAATTAATTTCCACTAAGTATGCTCTTGTTTACTTTCAATGTAATTAAAGTACAATGATGACAACGGCTACATAATATATAAAATAGCGAAAATTATTGTTAATCAAATTCAATATCATAATTATTAATTTTCGTCACATTCAAAATTTTTAAATTTTGGTCCAAACTTAGATGAAAGTTTATTAATTTTAGTCCAAAGATGATTGACTAGGATCAGACCGTATTGATTACCCAATACTTCTGAACACGGTTGTATTTTTGTCCGTATTCTGAACACATTATATTCCTACCTATGTTCATAACTTTGTTCTCAACACAACCAATATTCTAGCTCATGTTCACGATTATATTCTCAACACAGCCATGTTTGAGGCCATGTTCACGGTCATGTTTTCAATATAATCATATTATAGGTCATATTTATTATTATTTTTACTTCTCGGTTAAAATTATTTGATATATATATTTATAATTCAACAAAAATATTTTTTTACAATTATTTCATAATATAAAAAATAATCAATTTTTAATATTTTTTAAAAAATAATTGCAAAATTAGTGTAAAAATAAAAATATTAATATATATTTTTAATAATAATCATTAAATGTATTTTTAAAAATTTATAGTAAAAATTTTAAAATATTATTTTGAATTTAAAAATAAATTTTATTTATAATCTATAGAAATAATTAATTTATATAATGATGATTATTAAAAGTATATATTAATATATTATTATTTTTATAACTTTTTTTCAATTATTTTTTATAAATATTAAAAATTGATTAACATTTATATAATGAAATATTTGTAAAAATATTTTTGTTAAATTACAAATATATATATATAAAATAATTTTAACAAAAAAAATAAAAATAATAAATATAACCTACAATATGACTATATTGAAACTATGGTCGTGAACATAACTTAAAATATGGTTGTGTTGGGAAAAATGATAATGAAATGGGCAGGAACATGACTGTGTTCAAAATACGAACAAGGGTAATCAACACGGATGCGTTGGCTGCCTGGGACACCCAATCATCTTATAAGTCATCCAACACAACTGTGTTCAAACCAATAAGGCCGTGTTCAGTTTTAGTCAACCATCTTGGGATTAAAATTGATAAATTTTCATTTGAATGAGATCAAAATTGATAAAATTTTTTGAATGAAACCAAAATTGATAATTATGATATGAAACTGACTAAAAATAATTTTTGCTCTATTTTCTATAATTAAACAAAAAACAAAATAAAAATATTTTTATAATAGGAGGAATATCAAAGAATTTATTCTTTTATGATTTTAAACTGAAATTAATGTTATTTATTTTGTACAATTCTTAATAAAAATATTTTTATTTTCGCAAAATAACATACTCTTTTCGTCCCGCAAAAAGGTTGTTATTTGATTTTTGCGTCATTATACTTAACATTAAAAATATTCTTATATTTGAATAATTTATTCAACAAATATCATTGTATTTGTATTATAAGAGATTAATAAACGTATTTTTGTCCTTTTTCCTTTTATTATTACTATGTATTGATATAATAATTAATATTTAAAGATCAACACGAAAAAAAAAAAAGTCAATAGCAACCTTCTTGTGGGAACGGAGGGAGTATTACTCCCTCTGTCCCGCGATAGATGACTCTTTTTCCTTTTTTGTCCGTTCAATTAAAGATAACTCATTTCTATTTTTAGTAAATTTATTCATTTTAAATATATTTAACAAATATAAATCAATTTAATTAAATTTCTAACTTAAGATTCACTCAAAATCCTTTTATTTCTATCTATCTCCTCAATAAATAAATATTTTTTTATCTATATTTAAAACTTTTTATTTTTAATAAAATTAATTTTAAGTTAATTATAAATAGATTAATTAATTTTTTATTTATTTGTATTATATAAAATTTTATTCTAAAATGATATTCATATTGTATATATTTTATTGATTTATAATCCTAAAAATATTTAAAATACCAACAATACTACTTATATAAAAATATAATATAATATCATAACTTATTATTAATAATTTACTAATTTACATTACCTAAAATACCGTATCCTTAAGCAAATGAATCATCTTGACCGGGATAAAGAGAATATATTTTAAACAAAAACAAAACAAATTGAAATAATGTGCTTTCCACTATTATTTTTTCTTACAAAAATAATAAATGCGTGACTGGGGATGCGTGCGGAAATATGCGGCGCAATGAATCAATTAATACTATTAATTTTATTTAATAATGTTTTTTACGGCGATTAATGTAATCTTACTTCAGTGATTACGTTAACCACTCCTTAATTACGTTTAATTAATACAAACTCGTAATTAGTAAAGTTAATCATGATTTTAAAAGAGACATTGCATGTCGGCTGGTGATAAACAAATTAAAATTAAAATTAAAATTAAAATTAAAATTAAATTAAATGGGCGGTTGCATGTCAATGTCTTGAACTAATTAGTAATTAGACACGACAGTGTGTAGTTAATTTAATTTAATTTAATTACAATA